CCCCGTTTTGCCCGGACCGCGGATAGAATTCAAATTTATCGGGCGTGGAGGCTTTGAAGGCGCGCGCGCCGTTGACTGTCGCCGTTCGCCGGTCCCATCGCTGGGAATTCCGCGGTTTTAATGCCCGCGATAGAGACGAACCAAGAATTCGGCGCACGCCGCGCCTCGACGGGAATGCGTGTCTTATCTAGCCCGTATTTGCTTCTCTGTTGCAGACTCCTGCGAGCCGGTTGCGGACCGACCTTACGGTGAGTGACTCATTTGATCTTGATCCTTTAGAAATTGGAGGTTTCATGGATCGCGCGCTTGATAAGGAGAAGACGCTTGGGACGGTAAGAGGAATGTTTAGTTGCGCGCTTTGTCTATGGAACATGAAGTTAACGTGATTGAATTGTTCGGGATGATGGAGCTGATAAGGAGTTCTTGAAGTGTTCGAGGTTCGCGGAGGCTTATGTTTGGAATACTCGGGACAGAGTAGACTGTGCGTTGAATTTTAATTGCTTATTTGCAACTTTGTACTCTAGATAAGTTTCATGTTATCAGTATTATGAAAGTCTTTTTATAAAATCGAAAATGCATTTATTGACATTTAGCTTGACTTATGCTTGAACCTCTGTGTATCTCGATCCATTCAATAATTTCTGAGAGCATCCTTAGTCTTCGATAATTGTGATAGATACAGCTTTGATCTTGTAGGTCAATATTTAAAGAATTTACAATCGCCAACTGGATCCTCCCAACCGCCTTCTTTCTGTCAACGCACAATATTTACGACTGCCAATGAAAGAAAACAAATATTTCGGAACGTTCCTCGTCTATTTCTCGAGCCGGTGTCTTCCGCGAGCAGAAAAACTGTCAGACCGGCCATTACGCGAGTCGTAGCGATTCGAGGGCCGTTTTCCATTCAGCTCGGACGGCCATTCCGCGCGGCCGCGATTGCGAAACGCGAACGATGTAACGGAGAAACGGCGGGCCCGATATCCCGGTCACTTCTTCTCTCACGCGGCTGCGCGGGCTCGGCGTTTCCACCTTTTTTTGGTTTTATTACCTGGAAACCTCATGGCCCGAGGTTTATGCAAACGCGTAAATTAGATCGGATTCTCGGAACCGGCGCCGTTTCAGATAGAAAGCGCGACCGCTCCTTTACGTCCTCTCGCTTTCGACTCGGGGAACGATTCGCCGCGGTTTCCGCCCGCGAAATTCTGCGTTCGGCGCCTCCCAACCCTTCGGTGCAATTTTTGTGAAAGTCGGCTCTGGGAGAGCACCTGTATACGAGGAAGACAAAGGATCGTAAAAGTACGTCAATCTAAACTGCACTCTTCACGAGTCTAGATGTTCGTAAACGGCTAACACACCTTTAATTCCTTCCGTCGAATAGGCAATTGTAACACAAAGAAATCTTATTGTCTCGCATTGTAAACTACGAAAACCAGAAACATTTTCTACAAGTCACCAAGAACTAAAAATCTCGAAACCTCGATTAAACCGTCAATTATCCAACGGACTCTCTCAAATTTCCCCGCGGAAGGGTAAATCACCCCTATCAAGCACCTCGCCTCGCAAAACACCTTGCCCGCTGCCGGTGCACCGCGAATATCAGCTAATTACTGAAAAAGCACCAGACAAATCGCGGCCAAACGTTCCCAACCGATTCGCCGCAGTGGGGTGTATGGTTTCCGTGGTCCAGGCGTCTTCTTGTTGACATCAAGGGTACGTTAGGGGGCGGTAAAAAGTCGCGCGGCATCCGGTCGTCCGTCGTCCGCGCGAGCAGTCGTAAAATTCAGCGTTATGCGATTCGGGGCCTGTGTTTTGTCCTTCTTTCGAGATTATGATTACCCCAGCAGCCACCGTGGCTAATATCACGCAATAAGCACGCTGCCCTCGAGAAGACCACCTTCCGTCTCCACCGCACCCCCTGCCGCCCGTTCGTTCTTCTCTGTCCCTCGGCTAGGCCCGCGTTCGCTGCCTCCTTTTCTCAGGTATATATAATATGTGCCACGAAACCGTGGCGTAAACGGGTATCCGGTGGAAACGCCGGGTCCTGGTGGCAGAAGAAAGGAGGCAGCATCGGCGGGACAGGGACAGAGGTCCCATCAAACGAGCCGCAGAACCCCGAGCGAGGTCATCTCCGGGCTTTCCTGGAGCGACTTCATCTCCACGGTCCGCGGTCGGCCGGACGCCGCAGGAATTTCAGGGAGCCAAGAGCTGATAATTTTTATTATGCGTTTCATTCCGCCCCCGGGTGGCTTTACTGTTCGTCGGTCCACGGGGCCGAGGGGGATATTTATTGGCCGATACAGCCGGTTTACACCCGTTCCGGCGTTATCTGCCGGACGAACGGGATCGTCGCTAATGTAACAAATTTCGTAACGACCGCGTTCGTCTCTCGCTGCGGGCATTACGCCGTTTGATAACTAATTCGCCGCGGCAACGGCCGTTTAAAGGCTCGTCACTCCGTCCCGCCGGTGATACGTATTTAAGGAGACTCCGGCGGACGGTCGATTAAGTACGCTTATGAAACGCGCCCGGGCAGCCCGCGCTGCGAGTAAAAAGACATTAAAAGGCCCCGGGAATTCGAGCGGGGCTCGTATTCGACGGTTTATCTGCCGGTGTAAAAAGGCTCGGTGCTTTTCAGCGCTGCGAGGGGACGCGGCCTCCGCTGATCACGATGACGTGGCGCGTGCGAAAGATGCTCGCGAGGGGTGGCCGCGATTTCTCGAGCAACAGGTCCCGGTTATGAGAGTGTAAAGCGTTTTCAAGCCGACCGACCCCTAGAGGGGTGTGATTCCCGCGCGAGAATCCGACGCTCGCCGCGGAAAGGGACGAATCTTGTCCGCGGGGGGTCCTCTCACGACGAACCTCGTTCCTGCCCGTGAAACGGGGATCGCTGTGTGCGTGCGTGCGTGTGCGACGAGCGTCGGCACGTCGTGTAACGGGGGTGGCCTGCGACCCCAGACACGGGGGTGGCTGACAGCCGATTAGGACGAGACGGGAGGGCCCCCACGGAAAACTTAAAATAACATCGCTCGATCATCCGGGTGTCTTCGCCGACAGCCGACTAGGCTACTCTTGTATTCAGCCTGTCCCCTCTTCGAGGGCCTGCGGCTGAACTAGACGCGACCTTCTCAGCGGGTACCTTTCGATCGAGGTCGTATTACCGGCGATCTGTCTTTCGGAGTATCCTTCTTCCGGTTTGCGAGAGGAAGGATGCAGAGTTAGGGGATGGTTTAGCCTCAGTGGGGTTCGATGGAATTGATCCTGTTTCGAATTATTTGGCAGTAGGTTATAGTAGATTCTTGGTGGAATTGAGTGAACTAAAGCTGGGATTATCTAGTTTCGTTTGATACAGTCTGGGAGATAAATTGTTATTCAATAGAATGATTAGAATAATGAAGTGTCTTGTAGAACTCCAGAGAACTTTCAGAACTCCTTCATCTCACTCAACACTCCCAGAACAATACATCCTCATTTCCCTCAACCTTAAAAAAACAAGAACTAACGCATCCATACAAATGCTCGTGTCAGTCCCTCATTCAAAATAACACTCCATCCACCGAAGCGTCCGATGGATTCGTATCACCTTCTATTCCCAGTAATTGCCGGCGCGCGCAGGCAGAAGGGAATTCCTCCATAACGAGGTCGAATCGGGCGTAATACCATCCCGCCGAAGATACCAGAAGTCGAAGAGCCGTACGGTCAGTCCCTCTATGGCCGATCTCCTTCCATTTCCACCGGCACGGACCAGGGGAAAATTCAGAGTCGAAGGTTGAGCACCTCTTCGACGCTCATTACAGCGTGTCCCGCCCCCGGCTGCGGGTAATCAGAGTGTGCGGGGGAGTGAAGGGCTCGGGGGCGGCGGGTGACCTCGCCCGGGGCCTTTACTCTCCTCCGCGGCGTCCCCGTTCGCCTCCTTGTCCCGCCGAACCCGCAGGCCGGGGCTGCCGGCCCTCCTCCCCGCCTCACTGTCCCCCCAACGGCGTCCATTCTCCTCCCTCGACGGGTTTCGACTACCTGCGAAAGGTGACGGAGCAGCAGAAACTCGGTTCAACCGGGAATCGCGACCTTGCCGGTGCTTTGCATTCGGCGTGCATTCGACGTGCATCGTGCCGCCTCAACCACCCTCTCTCTCTCTCTGTCTGTCTCTTTCCGCCTCGCTCGGAGCGGCCGGTAATTGGCGGAAGTCGCATGCGGGCGTGCACCGCGTGAAACAGCTGCGGAATGCCGTTTGACGTTTTAATCTCTCCTGTTCCAGGGGGTTGCCGAACCACAGCTAATTCCGGAGAGGGTGGGAATTAAATTAGGTGACCGAGGCTTTTACTTTCTCGTCTGGAGGACGCTTGCGAGTGAAACGGGTTTGGGAAATTGGGAAAATTAAGGGTGGACGAGTTGAGGATTCTGGTTGTTTTCTTTGTCGACGGAGTCTTCGGATGGCTGATTGGTTGTTGACGGTCTCGTGCTTTTGTTGATGAGGTGTGGGTTATTGTGCGGTACGGTGCTCGGTTGTAGGAATGATCTCTGTGTGTTAAACGATTGTTGTATTGGGTTATTTACGAAGAAGAGCAGGGGATGATTCTTTAGAGGATGATGCGTTTGTTGGTTCCTGGAAGGTATTTAATAACTTGGATTTATGACTTGTATCTGAAGCGAGGCTGTACGAGCATTGAAAAAACTCGTGATTCCGTGAAAGTCATTGACGGCGCAGCCTCGGCGAACAATACCACCGCTGACGATTAACCCCGAGCCTTAATGCGCTAGTAAGGCTCAGGCAGAATTGGTATTTTCGAGATAGGACGGCCAATCAGTGCCGAGAGAGCCACCGGCTATTTGGCTGCGAATAATAATGATTACGGTAGGCACTCTCCGAACAGGAAATGGCGCTGTCAGGTGGTAGGGGTAGGAGGTAGAATTTTTCGGTTGGTTCTCGGCGGAGCGCTGACTCGTCTCTCGTAAAAATTTTCGGAAATACACCTCTCGACAACCAGGAATTACTTTGGAATTTAATAAGCCGCCGTGGAACAAAGGATTTTCCTTCGGAGCTCAAGGGTTCTTCCATTTTTCTTTTCTCCAAGGGCCGATACAAAAGTAATTTTATATCACTGAAAAAGGTCAGTTATATTTGACAACGCAATACTGCGCACCTCGGGATATTAGAATCCAAATTTCTACCGAACTCCTAGTTCCCTGTTGAAACAAAGAATATTGAAATAATAGCTACAATATAACATTAATAAATAACAACAACACTTAT